CTCCTTGTCTTCCAAGCCTCTTCGAGAAAAGCTGTGTCCAGAAGCCTTTTTGATGTTCTTAGTTTCTGGTTATTATAAAATGTTACGAGAAGCATAACCTTGCGTTGGTCTCTGGGGCTTATTGACGATAAGGGGCTGGTCGGTTGCAGGACACACACACACTCGGGCCCTGCTCAGGGGTGGAGGGCGAGATACCGTGTGTAGCCAAGGCGCAGGCCGTGAGCTTTTCTAGAAGGCTGTAGGCAGGATCTGCCCCTGTTTGTGATGCAGTATCAAGTCCTCTCAGCAGGTTCTGGGCTCAGGACGTTGCTGTGGTGGGTTCTCCAGGGTTCTAAAGCCCAGGTGCTCATCTTGTGTGCTCTGGAAGGCTGGGAACAGTGCTCGGCTCAACCCTACACTTCAGGGCCAGAGAGCAGAACCCAGTATACCTGCTGCTCCTGCTTCAGGCCGCTGGCTGGGTGCTACAAAGACAGCTCGCGTTGTCAATACTTTGGGGCGAGGTTCTGGGAACAGTTGGATACCCCTGGGCTTCCACACTGGAGGTGAGAGGGAATTCTGTGTCAGCTTGACCAGGCTATGGTACCCTGTATTTGGTCATATATCATTCTGGATGTTTCTGTGAATTTATTTTTTTTATGCGACAGCCGTTTAAATCAGTAGACTTTGAGTATGACCAATCATGTTCCATAATGCATTCATAACCAAGGACTGACCTCTTGAAAGGAAGGGGGACCTCCATGGCATCACTTCCTCCCTCTCTGCCCCCCACAGTGAATGCTGAATTTGTCCTCCGTGATCACATGAACCCACTGGTGAAAGTCAATCTCTCTCCCTGTCTGCACAGCCGTGCACATCCGTTGGTTCTATCTCTCTGGCGTGCTTGACTAACTGGGTATGCAGAGGGGAAGGGCTTGCCTGGCCCTTTACAGTTTGTAAGTTCCAGTGACCATACCTCTCCCACTGGGCCTCCCAAGCACTTTGTGGTTCATCTCCTCAGTCTTCCATGATCCCGACAGGCGCCCTCCTAGTTGCCTCCAAGTCCCCGGATTTCCATAGAGCCTTTGAAGAACCCTCCTGGGGTATACAAGGATTAGAGCTTTGTCTGACACTTCACAGCTTATAAATGAACTAAAGGGGCAGGTGGGGGTGGGGCAGCTTTCCAGGGCTGGGCAGCCAGGGACTTTGTGCTCAGTGGTGGTCTGGTTCATGTTGGAAATAAAAGAGGAGGCACTTAGCCACTACCCCCGGTCACTCAGCAAGTCCAGACCATGAATGTCCCCAGAGGAGCCTGCTCCCACGGCCCTAAGCAACACGCACCTCTCTGGCCGGCCCCTCGCTCGCTGTACCAGCCCCTGCCTTCATCCTCTGTAGTCAAAATTGTGACTTCCTGGAGCAGAACGTGCCAGAAGCACGGTAAACAGGGATGTTGGGTTATACCTTGTCTTTGGAGCCATGGGCTGGAATGATGTCCCCACTGTCACCAACCCCAGCATCTCTCGGTACCCCCGCTCTCTCTCATGGACCCTGCCGGATGTTACGGAACTAGGGACTGATTGACTGTGTCTCGAGTTGCTTCCTCCCTGGCGATCTCTTAGTAGGGTCACTGTGGGGTGGGGAAGTCTGGCATGAGGGGAGCGAGATTCTAAGAATCAGTCCCATGGCTGTGGGCTGTGGGACCAGCTGGTCAGAACGCATTAGCCACCATTAGTTCATGCTGAGCGCTCCAGGCAAAACCTCTGATTCTCCAGACTCCATTCTACTCTGTGGCTTTCAACTAACCAGATGCATCCCACCCATACTCTCAAGGGCAGTCTCCTGCGGCTGACTGATGTAGGGTGTCAGCGCACCTTCACCGGATTCCGCTACGTGTTTGGTTGGATGGCTGTGTACTGTAGGCAGGCCACGTGGATGGCTAAAGCCAACAGTCAGGGATATCCAGGAGGGCTTTTCGTTTTTTTTGTTATGATGGTTCTCACGGGAGTTTGGGCATCTGTTCCTACCTCTGTTGGTTGGGGCAGCAGCAATGGATTTGGCTGAATCTACCCTTGGGGTATCTGACACTCTCTTCTGGCCTTGGGTACTCACACACATGTGCGCGTGCATGCACACACACACACACACACAAATAAAAGGTTAAAAGTCTTTATTTTAAAAATTTTTGCAATTGACGACTATAGGAGGCACAGAGGGGAGCGATTCAAAACCCAGCCTGAGGCACTGAGACGGACCAGGTTACTGTGAAGTTCAGCTACACAGAGGCTGTGGGGCAAGAAGGGTGGGCACTGGGTAGAATATCACTAAATATCAAGACAGAATACCTGGGGAAGGAGGCTGGTGTGGGGCTGTCCGTGGAAAGGGACGTGAGTGGGAAAACTCAGCATGAGGGCTGAGGGGCCAGCACAAAGGAGTGGAGGCGCCAGGTACAACCAGGAGCAAATGCCCTCCCTTCCCAACCTGTCCCGGCTTATTTCATGCCAACTTGACACTGGGCAAAGTCATCAACTGAGTAAGATCAGGCCATAGGCAAGCCTGCAAAGCATGTTCTTAATTAGGGGGTGGGCACTGTGGGTGGTGCCATCCCTGGGCAGGTGGTCCTGGGTGCTATAAGAAAGCAGGCTGAGCAAGCCACGAGGAGCAAGCCGGTAAGCAGCACCCCTCTATGACTTCCGCATCAGCTCCTGCCTCCAGGTTCCTGCCCTGACTTCCTTCGGTGATTAACAGTGATACGGAAGTGAAAGCCAAATAAACCCTTTCCCCCCTTTGGTCACGGTGTTTCATCACAGCAGCGATAACCTAAGACACCGTCCTTGACTAGCCCATGAGCAAGTTTCGTTTCTATCCATTCATAGGCTCCAGCACAGCTTGACAAAGGCTACATCCGATACAAGTGCGATAGCTAACAAGATGGCAAAAAGAAAAAAATCACTAATTCCTTAAAAAAGTTGACAGATTTTTGTAGGCTGACTACAAGCATAAAAGAAAGGGGGAAGGCAGCTATGCTCACCCGTGGTGGTGCACACTTTAATCCCGGGACTCGGGAGGCAGAGGCAGGTGGGTTTCGGTGAGTTCCAGCCTGGTCTACAAATGAGAGGAGAGGTAGAACAGCAATGCAAACACAGGAATTCTAACCTTTGAAGATAGAAAAAGGGGCCAGGACCCAAGCAACATAGGCCCCCTCTAGAAGCTGGAAACAGTGAGGCAGGAAGCATCCCCCCTGCAACTGCCTGAGGAGCCTAGCCTTGTCAGGCTAGCCCAGGCTGGAGAAGCAGCTGTGGGCAGCTGTGTAGAGCTTCCTGAGGGCACTCAGCACTTATAAAAGCCTGTGCAGAGGCCCTGCCCGATGTGCTGAGCATAGTGAGGAAGGCAGCTTCCACTTCACAGTGGAATGCTGCATACCCACGTGGCCTGCAGCTCCAGCTTCCCTGAGAGAGGAGGACAGCAAGCAAGCAGCAGTGGAGATGGGGGGGAGGAGAAAGGGCGGGGGTTGCAGGGGAGGCACGACCAGGTTCTTCCAGCTTTTGATATTGTCATCTATGGAGTTCGATGGAGAAAGGTAAAACCAAGTTGTTTGTCTGTTGGCTTGTTTGTTTTTTAAATCACACAAACAATAAACAAAACGTTTTAAGTAAGCTTAGAGTTTTGCATAGGGTGTCACGCAGAGCTGTCCCAGGCGACACGTGGCATGTACGGGAGGTCGGGCCTCTGTGTGTCTAGTCCTGCTTAGGACCCCGGACCCCTTCCATGTGCTGGGGCCTTTCCCCGTTTCCTTCCCGCCCTTTGAGAATCAATAAAGAAATCTCATCTTCCATTTTCTTTCTTTTAAAAACGTACTGTTCTTCATTTTATGTGTTTTGTGCTTGTGTGTGTGTGTGTGTGTGTGTGTGTGTGTGTGTGTGTGTGTGGCAGTGGGATATTTTGGTACCCGGTGATGGTCAGAAAACTACCTGAGGAAGGCAGCTCTCTCCTTCCACCTTGTGGGACCCGAGGCTGGGAGTCATTGCTCAGCAGGTGTCTACTTGCCAGCCTCTGGCTTGTCCTTGTCTTCTATGTTCTCTGAGCTAAGCTTTTCTCACTATGGTGAAAATGCGCTGGCCCATCTTGGCTTTGGATGGTCACACGCCGTACCTCGCGTCAATCACTTCGAAGCTGGAAATTCACTGTGTTGTTTTTGTTGTTGAAACAGGGTCTCACTATGTAGACCAGGCTGGCCTCGAACTCACTGAAATCCTTCTGCCTCTACCTCCTGAGAGCTGAAATTAAAGGCGTGCACCATTAAACCCACTCTGGAAATTTCCATTTTTAGTGATAATCTCCTCCCGTTCCACCCTGCCCCACAGCAGACTTCTGGACCCAGATGTTCCCCACCCCCACCGTGGACTTCAGGGCCCAGATGTTCCCCACCCCTACCGCGGACCTCTGCCCTTCTTCCTCTTGAAAGTAGGTTTGGTCAAACAGAGAGTTTCTGGTGGGGAGGGTGGGGTTGGGAGATCCGATGGATCTCTCCCTATCAAAATATGAAGCCCTGAGCCTGAGCCCCCCTGGGAAACGGTGGAAGGTTCTGAAGGCATCCACGATTAAATGCAGCTGCCCCGAAGCCTGAAGTCCTGCTCTGGCAGACACAGTCTATGGGCTCAGTGGAGTTTGATTCCACCATGCTAGGGCTTTGTCACCTTGAAAGGGTTCTAGGGTTCACTACTCCATGGGAGGAGCAGAGAGTGGGAACCTGGGGTGAAGCAGCATGAGGCAGCCATGGGTCTAGCCTCAGCTCTAGCCAGATGTCTGAGGCCGGGCCCTGTGTCCTGAAGCTGGACAGGTACTGAGAGGGATCTAGGGGTAAGAGAATGTTCCTTACTGCTTTTCTGCTTCAGTGAGAACTGGAAGGCCACAAGGTCCTTGGCTCCGGGGAGAGGGGGACAAAACCATCATATCAGCCCCCCCCCCCGTGTTGAGGTTTGAACCTGGGTCTGTGCACACACCACACAAGTACTCAATCACGGGGCTCCATCCCCAGCATGCTGTTTACTTTTATTTTGAGACAGGATTGTGCTAGTGCTAAGCTGGTCCAGGTAGCCTTAAAGTCACTCCAGCCCAGACAAGCTTTGTGCTTGTGTCTCTCCCGGGCTGCCCCCTGAGTGGCCAGACTCCAGGGTGCCTGGCCCCCTTGCTTTTCAGCAAACAGCCTGCCCCTGTTCGACCCCATGCTCTTGCTCCCCATCCGCCAGAATACTGCAGAGCAAAGCGGACTAGCACTGTGCAGATCCCAGACTCATCGTCCACACCGGAGCTCAAACACAGCAGAAGGACGCCCTGAGGCCAGCCTCACAGGATCGAGCTCTTCATCAACGCTGCTTGGCCCCCACAGTGTGCGGTGTGGGAGGTGCTGAGAAAAGCCCTTGGGCACCCATTTGCGGACAGAGGTCCGTGCATTCTGCTGGCAGATGGGTGGCCAGAGTCTGGCTATGAGATGCGGGTCAGGACCTTCTCTTCACATCTTGGTCTCTGTAACACTCCACAGGTGCTTTCCAGAGGAAGTCTGGGGACACAGAGTGAGCTGGCTCACTCCCGCCTCATCCCCATGTTGGTCTAGCTTGGGCCAGAACGGGAGGGCCCGGGTCCATGAAGATGTGCAGAACTTGGTGCCAATTCCCCAGGGAAAGCCATAGACCTTGGCGGCCTTCACGGTCTCCTCAGAATCCTCCTGGATTTGACTCCATGCCAAGAGGCCTCTCTCCTCCAGGGTGCCTGAAAAGTCAAGGAAGCCCCTGATTTTACTTCCACTCCCCATCCAAGCCTTGAACTCATCCAAGCCCCAACCCTTCTCCTCATTAGACAATCTCAGAGCCGCTACTCATGTGCTGCCCAGCCTCAGCCTCAACCACGGAGCCTCAGCCTCAACCACGGAACCTCAGGGCTCCCCTTGGCACACAGAAGCAGCCTGTCCGTGTGTGTTTGCGGCCCGCAGGTGCACTTATGTTTGGTGGGGAGTATAATCTGGAAAACAGAATGCATGAAGCAGGTGACGTCACAGAAGTTCGTAGGAGAGGCTGGGGAGGGCACAGAAGAGAAAGATGGGTGTGGCTGTCTCCCCAGAAGCCACAGTGATAGGATCTCTATGCCCCTCACGGTCAGTCTCTCCGTTGCCTGCACCCCTGGTGAGCTCAGCCCAAGCCTCACCCCACTATACCCCTTCACTTGTCTGTTTCCCTTCCCATCTCCTCTGTTAGCCTGTGTGTTTGTGGAAGGCAGAGGCGGAGCTCACTTCTCTTTGTATTCTCAATGAGTGGCACCTGCCACACGTATAATGGATAGTTAGAAACAGGAAGGAAGGAAGGAAGGAAGGAAGGAAGGAAGGAAGGAAGGAAGGAAGGAAGGAATATATGTGTGGTTTCCCCCAGCAATAATTATATTCTAGGTTTAAGAGAGCCAAGGCCATCTCTTTTTCCTTTCGTGTCTGGTGCATCCTCCATTTTAGGGCCCTGCTATGGCTAACCTGTATCCCTTGGGAAGTTGTACATGGATAGCCTGATCCTGGGGCTGTTAGTACTCTTCAGTGATGTTTAAAGAGGAGAAAAGTTACAAGGAGTCTGTTGTTGGAGGCTCCAGTCTGCCTGGGCTTGCATGGAGCTCACTGTATAGCCGAGGATGCCCGGAACTCCCGATTCCCCTGCCTCCACCCCACCCCCCCACCACCCTGCACAGGGATTACAGGTGAGCATCTCAGTTTACACACAGGGACTGTATGTCTACACAAACCTCTACCAGCTAAGCTACACCCCAGCCAGTCCTGTCTTCTTTACACAAAAGAGATTGTGGCACACAGGGAGATTGCAGAAATATGCCAGCCCCAAGCAAAGGCAACATGAGGATGCCCTCTTCAACCAAGAAGAAAGGTCCTGTGAGGAACCAGCCTGCCTCGGAGTCCCGGTCTGGGGACTGGAGGAAGAACTGCAGCTTTGCTCACCATATTCTGTGATGTGTTTTGGCAGCAGCTCAAGCTGACTCGTGTAAGCCAAGCCTTACTCTGACTGACAGGAGCTCTGCAGTGGCCCCATCGCTGCCCAGACGCCCACAAGCCCAGCTTCAGGTGGCTGTGGCCTTACCAGGGATGGTGTTGTCCAACACAAAGCCCAGGAATCCGCCAACAAACATGCCTGTGGTCAGGAGCACCTGGATGACCTGGTCCAGCTGGAGAACCCCTGGAATGAGACAAAAGTGACCGTTTGTGGGACCAAGGGCCGCCCTGCTTCCCACCCACAGCAGCGGCAGTCCAGGGTGGAGGAGGGGGACAGGACTCACCCGTCTGCAGCTTCTCAGGGTTCTCGCTCACCCAGTTGGGGATGACGAGCCCACAGTAGATAGAGAAGCCAAACACGAAGAGGTTCCTGGATGAATTCATGTCCACATACTATGGGAAAAAGGGTCCTCAAGTCAGCAGGGCCACAGAAGCCTTACGCGTGCGCACTGTGGCTGGTTGAGAGGTTGGATGCAGCTGGCTGCTGCTTTCTTGTCTTTGGGGTTCGCTATGACCACAAGCACCACCCTCCCCTTCCTCCCCCTCCCCTTCCCCTCTTCCACACAGCTCCATCTCCGGAGCTCCTCTCAGGATGTGTGGCGCTCTTGCTCACTGAGGTCCCTCCCTCACCTGTAGGTTGGAGATCCCCACAGCACTGATGATCCCGAACATGACGATGAACATGCCTCCGATCACCGGGGTAGGGATGGTGGCAAATGCCGCCCCAATCTTCCCAAACATGCCCATCAGAAGCAGCACGCAGCCTGCGGCGACGATCACTATCCTGCTCCCGACCTGCGCGCCCAGAGAGAAGGGATAGGAGCACCAGGCCAGGTAGACGCCCTGGAAACCTGTTCCTCGCTTGTCCTTCACACTGCTGTTGTGAGTCTGCTGCAGGGGCACCGCGTATGCCAAAACTGCCCAATCTCCGTGCTCGCATGCTGAGCCGAGGAGAAGTGAAGGAGGCACTCGGGTCCTGGCTTCAGCCCTCATCTCGCCGCCCTGCCGGACTCTCTCACACCCGTTGGGGACATCACTGACCTTTCTGAAGGTCAGCCTCCACATCTACCACATGAGACTAGGGTACCACACAATTCAGTATGACAAGGCCTGTGGATATTTGCAACGGTACGCGTTGCGCACACGGAATGCTCAGTAAGGGGAAACTGCAGGGGACAGAGACAGTAAGGTTCTTCCGCAGCGTGGTGCACAGCTCCGTGTTGCTCATGCTTTTATGAGGAAGGAATGTCTCTATCTCCCTGCCACATCCCATGCTCCTCCAAAGACGTGAACCTCATTAACACGTCCACACCTACTCCTTGCCCACAGCACTGTAAAGATACCCAGCGCCAGAGACACTGGCCACAAAAGGGGGGGGGGGAGACAGAGGATGCCTTGTACACACCTCTCATTCTGTAGAAGAGAAAACTAAAGAGAGGAACTCAAGGCCCTATGGGAGCCCCGTGCAACGCCAGGGTCTCCTGCGCCCAGCAGCCCATCAGGTTTCAGCCACAGCACCGCACACTCACAGCTGTGTGCGCACAGCGCGTCTGATTTACGCCATGTCCATCTCCAGCCCCACGTCACCTGGTGCTCTGTAAATGGAGCATCTGTCTCTCAGCAGGAGGGACAAGTGACAAACAGGGCATTTTACGAAGGGAACGGGACCATCCTGCAGCAGTCCAGGGTGTGTCCGGAATAGGCACGGGGCAATGGGCACTGAGGGTGACTCTGTGGTGGCTGCCTGGTCTGCCCAGTGGGGACAGTTTAACCAATTTACAAGAAAGGAAGGGAAGAGAGAGCGCCAGTCACCCAAAGATTGGGTGGGGAATATTCTAGAAAGAAAGCGGCATCTGTGAACTCTCTGGGAAAAGCCTGGATCGCTGAAAAGCACAAGGGAAATCAGTGTGCCCGGGGCTGCTGTGCCCAGGGGAGTGGGGGGAACCAGAGCAAGGGATGTGCTCCATCCTCCAGGGCCCTGGGGGTAGGGGAGGGGCAGAAACAAAGTCATATAATGCAGTAGGATTCTCCCCGAAGGAAATACTTCTGACACCTGCTGCCATGTGTGGGTGAGCCTTGTGATTTAAATGAAAATGTCCCCATAGGCTCATACACTTAAACACTTGGTTCCCTATTGGTGGTGCTGTCTGCAGAGGTTATGGAACATTTAGGAGCTGGAGAATTGCTGGGTACAGGGTGGGCTTTGAGGGTTTACAGCCTTGCTGTCCTTCCTAAGCCTGTTTGCTCTCTGTCTTTTCCCCCTTCTTTCCCCCTTCTTTCCCCCCTCCCCCCCGCCACCCCTGTGAGTGGTTAAAATGTGATTAGCCAGTTTCTTGCCCCTGCCTCCATGTGATGCCTCTCTGGTCATGAGGGCTCTATCCCTCTGGAACCGGAGGTTAAAATAAACCTTCCTTAAGTTGCTTTTGGTCATAGCATCTTATCACAGCAGTGGGAAAGTAGCGGATATAAGCCTTGAGGACACTGTGCCAGGAGACTCAGGCCAGTCATGAAAAGTCAGACAATATGTCTCCATTCACACGAGGTCTCCGGGGGCCGCAAATCCAGGGAGACAGGAAGCAGAAAAGGTTGCAGGGGCTGGGGAAAGGAGGAGCTGGGGGAGGGGAATGGGGAGGAGGAAGAGCGGGAAAAGGGAAAAGAGAAGAGAAACAAGGAGGAGAAGATGAGAAACAGGCTGGATGAGGAGTTGGGGTCCTTCAGGATGGGAGGAAGATGGACAGTGCCAAGGGTTGCCTAGCAATGTCAGTGTGCCTGATGCCGCAGCACTGCGGTCACACTGATCCCAGCATTCAGGAGGCTGAGGCGGGAGGTGTAGACATTGGAGGCTAGCCTGGGCTTTATAGTGAAACCCATTGTCAAAACATTGGAGGGGAGTTATGTCAAAGCATACTATATGTGGTGTATAATAAACTAATTAAAATACAAATTTAAAAACCTACCATTGTAACCAAATGGTTATAATGGTAAGTTTTGTGTTATGCATCTTTTATTACAATAAAAATAAAGATGGGAGGAAGCTTCACTCTCTTCCCTGGGGGTTTTAAAGCGGGGGGGTGCTATGGTGTGATATAACGGCTCCCTCCGGGAGAGGCATCTCACTGGGATTACTCAGCAGATTTCCTCACCAAGCAAGTGTTAATACGATGGACTCGGATTTCCCCTTTGCCTACATGGAGGTTCATTTACCATCCAAACTTTATCTCCCGCAGCACCTGCTGTCTCCACCCAGAATCTTAAAGGAGACTCCCCACCCCCCCAGTGCAGTGGTCCTCAACCTTCCTAATGCCGCGACTCTTTAAGACAGTACTCCAGGTTGTGGTGATCCTCAACCATAAAATTATTTTTGTTGCTACTCCATAACTGTAATTTTGCTACTGCTATGAATCATAGCATAGAAATCTGTGTTTTTTGATGCTTTTAGGTGACCCCTGTGAAAAGATCATTTGACCTCCTAGAGGGGTTAGGAACCACTGCCCTAGTTCATTTCCAGAGAGGGCTGGTTATTGCCATGGACTCTGCTTTGGACACACACAGGCACAGAGGCACACGCAAGCCCCCCTCCCTTTCCCTCTCTGTCTGATTTTTTTAAAGGGTACCACCATGCAGCCCCATTTGTGTGAGACGGAAGAGGCTGAATTTCTGGTGTGTGATCGCGTGAATCTACTAAACTCAGCTTCCAGACAGTCAGGACGGTTCGCTTCTGTTCTGTGCTTTCCCCACAGACAGACAGTAATTCTAAAAGCTATTTTAGTGCCAACTGAAGTCCACTAATACGGCAACCAACGAACAGATTATGAGCTTGCTTGTTCTTCCTTCTTCGCTCTGTAGACTGAGTCCTCAGAGATGCTCTGTTTAACACCTCAGCGGTTGACCTGCGTGACTGCAGGTACCACAGGTGGGTCTCCAGGTCCAGCCTGTGGTGCTAACGGTCTCATGGGGCAGGGGGGCGGTCATCCCCAAGCACACCACCATGGGAGCTCCTCGTGAGACCTGGGTCTCCCCCTTTGGCCTGAGAGCTGACAGGTAGGCAGGTAGCTGTGACATCCAAGAGAAGTGACAGGAGTTCTGTGGCCTTCAGCCTGCCCTCCCATCACACACACACACACACACACACACACACACACACACACACACACACGGGGAAAGAACCCATTGTTGCAATGCCTGAAAAGGCCACAGGGTGGAGTGTGAGCCCATAAATCCAAGTGGTCTTGCACCGATCTCTCAGGGCTAATCTAACCAGCTTGAGTCATGGCTAGCCCTGGGCCTGCGGGTCTCTACTCCCTGCTTTTTCCATCTCCTCTAAAAGGCCCTGCTTTAGACACTATGTCCACAGCAATTTGTTTTGTTTATGTAATGTCATTTTCTGTTCTCCATGGGACTTGTTTCCTTTAATGGGAAGGACATTGTTGCTGGACTTACACAGTCCGCCGCTACCTTTCCAGAGCACACACAGCCTGGACCGAAGGCCCTGGAAGCCTTGGGGGAGCATCAAAGACTCCAGAGTGTCCAGAGAGCCAGGAGCTGCTATGGAGGTGACTCTGGCTGGGGTTTGGTTGAGGATTTCAGCTCCACCAGAGGCAGAGTTCACTGGGGGGGTCGAGGGTGGACGGTACAGTGTCTCCAGGCTGCACACTGGAGCTACTGTGGGAGCCATGGACACTGCAAGTTGGGATGCTGTGGGGGAGAGGACCGTATAGTTTCCCCGAGCTCCCAAAAATCGCACTGGAAACCCCTGCAAAGACACACTGGACTACGGGGGCAGCACGGTGCTGTTGTTTCAACACCATTTAGAAACGCCATCCTGGGCTCCCTAGTAGGAAGTGGGTGGGGGGCTGAAGACACATTAGGATGAGACTAGTCAAAAGTGGATGGAGTAGAGATAAGCAAGATCCTAGGAAGGGAGAACGCGAAACCCTATCGTGCAGAGGACAGTCTGCGGCACCAGGAAGGGAGCAAAGGGAACAGGCGCAGAACCCGGTAGAGAACCCAGCAGGAAGTTCAAGGACAGCGAGACGTTAAAGATGACATGAGCGGCCGATGGGTTCACTAAGTCAGGGAGCGCAAAAAATGGAGCATGTGTGTGCTTCAGAGGTCTCTGGGTGTAGGGGCCCTGGGACCCTGAGTCGGGTCTGGCTAGGGGCAGCTGGATATTCAGAGCTGGGCTAAAGGCACTGAATGTCCAGCACAACCAAAGAAAACCAAGTGTTGACAGTGAGATCATGCCTCCTGCAGAGATGGCACACCCTGGCCCCTAGGCCATGAGTGTGTAGCCTTGCCGTGCTCCCCAATGTGCTTTGCAGAGGAGCCTGAGTTGGGGGCGGTGAGCTAGGGAGGGTCTCCTGGATCACACTGAGGGTCGAGCATAACTTTTTGAGTCTTCCTAAGCAGACAACCTTTCACGTCTGTGATGAGAAGACGGAAGAGGGGGCCACGGCCTCCAGGCAGGGCAGCCTGTAAAAGGGCCTCCTGAGAGGAGAATTTCCCTGTCCACACCTCTACTTTAGCCGCATACAGTCCCCATCTCGTTTCCGACTGCCGGGTGAGCAGGATGGCATTTGTCTAAAGCCAGTCTTGGTGAGTTCTCACAACCACAACAGGAAGTTAATCTGCAGGGACCCGGGGCCACCCCAGGAGCCTCCATCAGCAGCCTTACCCTGGTGATGCCCAGTGCCCCGACGTTCTCGCTGTAGGAGGTGGTACCATTGCCGGTGCCCCAGGCCCCTGCCAGCAGGCAGCCAAGGCCTTCGATGCCGATGCCCCGGTTGATGGCGTGCTTCGGAGGGGGTGGGGCACCAACCAGCCGAGCACAGGCATGATAATCCCCCACCGACTCCACCATGGAGGAGATCACTCCAGCAATGATTCCAAAGACTCCAGCCAGGCTGATGGTGGGGAGGCCCCACTGTCCTGCAGAGGTAACCCAAGGGGGCTGTCTGGCCAGAGGAAGCCGCTAGACCGACCCCAAGTCATTTCCTTGCCAGAAGGCTCTCTGGAAGGCTTTCAGACTAGGAAAGCTCTCAGCTGCCAGAGGCTTCGGCAAACTCCTGCCCACCCTTCCACCCGGTGGGTGGAGCAGATGTCCAGACTCAGAGGTCACCATGCACAGACAGGCAGAAATGGTGCCTCCTTCAAAGACAGCCTTGGAGCTGTTGGAAGCTAAGTCTCTACTAGAGAGACTGCTATATCCACAACCCATGAACCAGACAGGCCAGCCTTCAGCCCTGGCTACCTTCGCACACTCCAAGATAAGACCTGAGTGGTCTAAATGAAGCTCTGATCTCCCCCAAAATATTCTAACTCAGTCCTAGGCCTCCTTTGTTTGAGATCCACTGAACCTATCAGGAGACCCAAAGATCTGCCTGAAAGTCAGGCTTTTGGCTCAGCTTCCCTTACATACCATAAGGCCAAGGGCTTCTGGGTAACATGGAGGAGGGTGAGGGGCTTAGGCTCTTGGAATAAGAGAATCTAACCTACAGCTCCCAGGGGCTATTCAAAACAGCCTGGGTTTGGTGTCTGAATTCCCAGCTTCTTGGGAGACAGAGACAAGGCTTGCCTGCCTTTCTGAGTGAATTCAAGGTCAGCCGGAGTGACTTAGCAGTATTCTGTCTTCAAAAGAAAAAGTGAAAAGAGGGCTGGGGCTGTAAGTCTGCGATACAGCAATTGTAGGATCCCCACCAACACACGTGCATGCCTTAGAACAATCTAGAATCTCCCTCTTCACCCTTTTCTCTTAGAGGTCAGATATGGTCTCCCTGGAGCCCATGCCCCTCTTGCAATCCCTCCCCAGACTTTTTTTTTTTTTTTTTGGTTTTTCGAGACAGGGTTTCTCTGTGGTTTTGGAGCCTGTCCTGGAACTAGCTCTTGTAGACCAGGCTGGTCTCGAACTCACTAAGATCCTCCTGCCTCTGCCTCCCGAGTGCTGGGATTAAAGGCGTGCGCCACCACCGCCCGGCCCCTCCCCAGACTTTTTAAGCCCTCCATCCAGTACACTGAACCCCATAGACAGTCCCAGGAAACATGTGTCCCAAAGAACGACACCCATTTCTCCTCACCTGGATAAGGGAAGCGGAACCAAGGGGCCTGGCTCAGCACGCTGCCTTTGGTGTCTGTACGGGCCATGTACCCATATGCCATGGGGGACTTGGGGAGGGTGTTGGTGACAGTGAGCACGAAGCAGAAGAGCCATGAGATGCAGAGGGCCAGCAGCACCTGCCAGAGAGAGCGTCTCTTCACACCCTGCCCGCCCCACCCCTTCCTCTGTGTGTGGGGGTGGGGTGGGGAGTACTCTGAGACCCGGGGTGTTCAGGTGACTGACCCTGCTACTGACAACAGGAATCTGCTGTGTCCATGGATAAATTAGCACATTAAGGGAACAGACGGACAAGAGAGGCAGAAGATTCACTACGGAAAGAGACCTCCGGCAGAGTGGGACAGAAATGTTCACGTCGGGCGGAGCCCGTGGCCAAAGGGTGAGAATCAGGCTCTCCCGCTGTGTGCGTATCTTCATCTATGCCACGGGATCAGACCCGCTCCTCGAACAGCCCAAACCGTGGTGAGATCCCAGAACACTTAGAGGATGGGGAGACTGTTGGCTGAAGAGGAACGGGGCAATAGGAGGCGGTTGCTTCTAGGAGTCAGAGAGAAATTTGTGTGAAAGTATCTTTCTAGAAATCTCTGGAAAAGGAGATACCCCCGAATCATTAGAGGTGAAGCCGTCATCCCCAGGGCTTAGCTATGCAAGCAGCCGGGGGCTAAAGCTGTCTGTCCCGTGCAGATAGATGCTCAGAGTAGGAACCTGAGACGGTATGCCAGCAACCGCCAGGGGGCGCCACCCGCACCCACACGCCTCAGCCTCCAGAGGTGCGTGAGCACTGGTTTTGGAGCTAACCAGGCAGGCATAGGGAGGTTGCCCTACATGCTCCAAGTGAACCAAGAGTGAAAGAGGGCGAGGGGCGGATCTTACAGGGAAGACCTGAAACAGGTTAAATTTGGAGACGTGACACTTCCCTCTTCCATAAACGGGCACAGGCACCACGACGTTCTTGAGATACTGAGAAAACAGAACGATGAGGAAGATGGTCCTGAAACAGAAACAAATGGTCACCTACTTTGGTGGGCTGGATCCTTCCTGGTGGGGGCAGGGTATCCCTTCCAGGCTCTAGGAATGGTCAGGAAGCTGAGCTGGTGGCTTGGCTGGGTCCCTGTAGGAAGCACAGGCCTCCTGCCATCCGTGAAGAGGGGTCGATCCCCACTGGGAGATGCTGCTGGCTGAAGGGAGATAGCGGGCCAGGAGACCGTCACTTCTGGGAGTCGGAGAGATGAGCGACTGGCAGCAGGATCAAGCCAGTCATCAGAGCCACTGAGGCCCGAGTCAGAGATATCTCCCAGAAGCTCTGCACCTCACACCTCTCTCGGATCACACGGGGCACAGTGAATGAGATGCCACCCCTAAGCTCCAGTCTAAACGCTAGAGGCTTCATTTCCCCTCTCCTTGAGCCTCCTTGGCTGTCATCACCTCCCCATAAACACCCCAGCCCCCCCCCACAGCACCCTCCCCATAAACACCCCAGCCCCCCCCACACAGCACCCTCTGACTCATGGGGTCCCCCAGTATTTCAGGGGTCTCAGTATTCCCGCACAGACTAGAAACACCCTTGTGAGCTGGCGCCACTCTTTGTACCCATCTGAGCTCGATGAAATCCTTGCTGGCAAGAGACCAGTGGAGTCAAGTTTTCATCAACACTACATGTTCTTAGACACTGCCGTGATAAATCGGTTTCTATGAGAATCAGTAAGATTAAAACATCTAACAGTCATAATAAATCCTAAGTATCAACTTGTGACCGTCTTAATGATGTGGGAGTGTCATATCAATCTGTTGATTTCATTGGCTGAGCAATAAAGAAACTGCTGGCCCTGATAGGTTGAAAGATAGGTGGGTGGAATAAACAGAATAGAATTCTGGGCGGAAGAGGAAGTGAGGTCAGACTCTGCTCTGCTCCCGGAGAGACACAACAGCTCTGCTGGAGCAGAGACGCCATGCTCAGCTCTCCCGGGTAGACGCGATAGCTCTGCTCTCTGAGGCACACGCGATGAAGATGGATGTAGGCTAGACTCTTCCCGGTAAGCGCACCTTGGGGTGCTTACACACATTATTAGAAATGGGCTAGTCCAGGTGCGAGAATTAGCCT